GCAGGGCGAGGGCAGGGCGAGGGCAGGGCGAGGGCAGGGCGAGGGCCGGGCAAGGGCCGGGCGAGGGCCGGGCTCGGAGTCGGAGGGCAGGGCGAGGGGTCCTGGCCTTTATCTTAGTTCTCTGCAGTAAGGGCAGCTGCATCGACCGTCTGTACGGGGCGTCGGCCGGCCTTGGAGAGCTGCCTGCCGCCTGGCATGGGAGCTCCTGGGTAGGCCGGCTGCTTAGATACACGCAGCCCATCAGTCCCATCGCTGGGCACTCTGGCCATAGGCTCCTTCCGCTGATCCGTGGCACGCACCTGAAGAGAAGAGGTCCCATCTGGAACCCAGGCCCGGGACCAACCTCCCCGATGCAGAGAGCGAAGACCGGTTCCTTCTAGGAGGAGGGAGGGGTGCGTTGCGAGCGTCCCGGAGGAGGTGCAGGGGTGTCAGAGAGCGACTCTCCCCCGGTGTCTGGCAGTGCAGGCTTTTCTCCACCTCCAGTTCTCGTCCGGAGGTTGTCAGCAACGGGTAGGACTTGTATGGTGGACCGTGAAGTCCAGGGCGGGTCTTGTAACCGCGGCCCAGGGAGGAGTTGAGGCAAATCTGGGCCTCTCCTCCCTGGGCAGGTGCCACCCGCCCTCGAGCCCTCCTGTGTCTAAGGACGTGGTCACGGGGGCGCCCAGGCCAGGAGGGGCAGGAGAGGGACACGGCACAGCCTGGGGCGTGCTCTGAGCTGGTCCGGAGTGCTCACAGGTGGGGCATACCGCCTTCTCCTCACTAAGTCACCCCGGCGTCTCCCCTGTCCCTCAGCCCAGACACCTGCGAGAGAGGAGGCGTGGAGCCCTGGGGACCCGTGTGACCGCCTCCAACTGAAGGGAAATGAACATTTATGGAAAAGTGGCCACGCGAGATAACCCAGGCCCAGGTCCCCTTGTGTCTGGGAGGCTCGAACTCGGTGGCCTTCACCCAGCTCTCAGACCTCACGCACTGATTCCCACACACCGTGTGGCACTGCAGTGGTACAGAGCTCGTGACGGCCGTGAGTAAGGTGAGCCGGAGGGAAGAACGCCCCAGGTGGCTGCTGCAGGAACCCCATTCCCGGCTTGCTGCCTGGGGGTCCACAGTGCGTTCCTGTGTTCAGGGACTTGCTTTTGGGCTGTGCAGTCCATGTTGCAGCTGGAGTGATGTCCGCTGCTCAGGGTGCAGCCAAGCCTGCCACCTGCTCGGTGGCTGGAAAGTCTACAGGCCTGTCAGCAGGGGGATGGCATCGGATCCCAGAGGAGCTGTGCACCCAGGCCCTGCTCCTGATGCCAGCCGGGCTCTCTTTGGCTTGCGTGGTAGCAGGGGTGGTGCACGGGCCTACAAGCTCCCGAGATCCTGGCCCAGCCACTGCGCAGCTGGGAGAGTGGGGCCATGTGAGGCTCTGGAGCAGCCGCTGCTTAGGCAGAACACTAGATTCACCTCAGAAATGCCACTGTTGGACCAGCAGTTGGGGTAATGGCTACGTCACTGGACTCCCAAGTAGTTGACTGTGGTTCAAGTCCCAGACCTGGTGGCTTGAACTCATGCCGGGTGTGTGTGCCCAAGATTCTAAGAGGAGAATGGAGAAGAAGGGATTGCAGAGTGGCCATCCCACCAGGGGTGATTTCTCACTTTCTATCTCTCTGTCTCTCTCTGTCTTTCTGGCGAGCGCACGCGCCCTATAGTGAAAACCTCTAAAAAAAAAAAAAAGAAAGAAAGAAAGAAAGGCCACTGTCTTGTGTCGAAATGGAACACTCTAAGGTCCCTTCCAGAAAAAGCCAAAGGGGGCTTCGGGGAGAATAGGCAGCTGGCCATCGCCAGCAAGCAACCAGGCCCT